GTGAATTTTCTGGATGTCGGGGACTATTTGGAAGGACCGAAAACCATACCGTGGCATGGCACTGGAAAGAATGACGCCAGCGCTGCAGCGGGAGCACGATTCGGAACGAGCGGAAGCGCGGAAATCAGGCCAGCGCTGCAGCGGGAGCACGATTCGGAACGAGCGGAAGCGCGGAAATGAGACCAGCCAGCGCCTCAGCGGGAGCAGCATTTATAGATAAATGAAAAACCACACAAACAAAAGTTCCTGGGAATCCTGTGTAAACAAAAAACATACGCGGAGGGGGCCAGATATTTCACAGACGTCATCAGGGGAGAGAGGAGAGTAGTTTTCTTATAGTGTAAATGTAGACGGAGGGACATCCGCATCAGAGAGTAAGAGACAGACGGGGAAACAGCAAGTGGGGAGGAAAAGCGTAGGAATGGCACGAGCAATGACGCAGGCGAGCGCACAGGTACGCACGCAGGCAATCAAGGAAGCAAGAAAATAATCCTGGCGATGGACCCAACCATATGCAGTTACGAGTACCGCAAAGCAGGTTGAACGAATGAGAGGGAGCTCCCTATGGGGCCACGAAACGTGTGAGGGGTGTGCCGAAATGGGTGCGGTGCCGCCATGCGGACGCAGCCACTGGGGCCCTCGGTGGAGCTCCCTATGGGGCCACCACGAAACGTGTGAGGGGTGTGGCGAAATGGGTGCGGTGCCGCCATGCGGACGCAGCCACTGGGGCCCTCGGTGGAGCTCCCTATGGAGCCACGAAACGTGTGAGGGGTGTGCCGAAATGGGTGCGGTGCCGCCATGCGGACGCAGCCACTGGGGCCCTCGGTGGAGCTCCCTATGGGGCCACGAAACGTGTGAGGGGTGTGCCGAAATGGGTGCGGTGCCGCCATGCGGACGCAGCCACTGGGGCCCTCGGTGGAGCTCCTATGGGGCCGAAAGTGTGAGGGGTGTGCGAAAAATGGGTGCGGTGCCGCCATGCGGACGCAGCCACTGGGGCCCTCGGTGGAGCTCCCTATGGGGCCACGAAACGTGTGAGGGGTGTGCCGAAATGGGTGCGGTGCCGCCATGCGGACGCAGCCACTGGGGCCCTCGGTGGAGCTCCCTATGGGGCCACGAAACGTGTGAGGGGTGTGCCGAAATGGGTGCGGTGCCGCCATGCGGACGCAGCCATTGGGGCCCTCGGTGGGGCTCCCTATGGGGCCACGAAACGTGTGAGGGGTGTGCCGAAATGGGTGTGGCTGACGCGGAGGGGGAGGAGGGAGGAGGGGGCAGAGGGAGGAAGGAAGGAGTGAACGCGGGGCGCTGTCTCTTCAAAACGAGGACCCAACATCACAGGATGGTTGGGAACAAACATCTTCTAAGTGAGCAGCAACGGATGCAAGCAAGCACGTGAGCGATCAAGCAAGAAAGCACACAAACTAGCAAGAAAGCATGCAAGGACTTACGCAAGCAAGCCTGCAAACAAAAACGCAAACAGGCTAGCGTCGAAGAAGGAAGCAAGTCGGATTCCGATTCGAGCTTGGATTCCAACTGGGACTCAAACTGTAGTTTATAAATTGTTCGGGTTAAAATGCGGATATGGATTCTGATACATGCAAAATCGCAACGCGCCCGATGGAGACAGCGACCTGAATGAGCACGCGTTTCACGGACGCTCGCCTGGGAAACATCCCACGACGTCGGAACCACGGGGTCGCCCCCACCCCTCCCAGACAGTCGGCACGCCGATAAAAACCGAAGGGCCCCCCCCCCCCCAGACCCCATCCCTCCCCCTGGTTCCAAAGGAGGGAAGATTCGACACCCCCCAACCCCCACACACACGCGCCGCTGTCAAAGAAAGCCTACGACGAGGACGACGCCGATAACGGCAACAACGTCAGCAGCGGCGGCGCACCTAGAGCCGGCGCCCGCGCCTGGAGCGCCGGCGAATGCGGGGAGGGATCGACATCCGCCCCTGCACTCGCAGCTGGCAGCCCACCACCCAGCTTCCCAAGAATCCTAGCAGGGCTCGATCCACCTTTCATATAATACCCCACCATGGCTCGAACCAGGTCTGGTGGACCCAGCTCTAATAGTATCCGACTAGGGCTCGATCCAGCTCGATATCAAAACTACGATGGCTCGAACAGCTATAACGAAATCCGAATGGGATTCGGTCCAGTTTTAATGCAGTCTTACTAGAGCTCGATCCAGCTCTAATCGTATCCTATTTGGACTTGATCCAGCTCCAATAGAATCCAACAAAGGCTCGATCCAACTCTATTAGAGACCTAGTAGGACTCGGTCGAACTCTTATAGAAAACGAATAGAACTCGACCTGGCTTTAACAAATTCCCATTACGGCTCTACCCGGCCCCAAAGAACCGCACCAAGCCCGATCCAACTCTCAAAGCAACCCACTAAGGCTCGATCCACCTCTAACGAAATCCTACGAGGGCTCAGTCCGAATCCAGTTCGATCCAGCTCTAATAATACCCTAGTCGGGCTCGATCCACCTCGAATAGAGTCCAAAGGCTGGAAGCAGCTCTACTAGGTTCCTGGTAGGGCTGGAGCCCAGCTCTAACACATCCTACTCGGGTTCGACTCAGCTCTCATAAGTCCTACGAGGGCTCGATCCAGCTCTAATCGTATCCCAATGCGGCTCGAACCAACTCTATTGGTTTCCGACGATGGCTCGATCCACCACTTATCAAATCCTACTAGAGCTCGATCCAGCTCTACGTCTCGATCGAGCTCTAATAGAACCCCACCCGGGCTCGACCAAGCTCAAATTCAATCCCACTAGAGCTGGATCCAGCTCTGATAGAACCCGACTTGGGCTCGATCCAGCTCTGCTCTAACAGTATCCTACAAGGGCTCGAGCAGCCCTCAACCGAATTCTATCTGGGCTCGCTCCAGGTCTAATCGAGTCCTACTGGGGTTCGATCCAGTTCTGATGGTATCCGACTGGGACTCGATCCAACTCTGATACAATCCCACTATGGCTCGAACCAGCTCACACAAGTTCCTACCTGGAACCGCTCCACCCCTGATTGAATCCCACTGGGGTAGGATCGAGCCCTGATATAATCCTACCAGGGCTGCATCCAGCTCTTGCAGAATCCCACGAAGGCTCAAACCACTCTAACAGTCCTTCTAGGGACCGCTCAGGCCCTAATAGTATGCTACTAGGGCTCGTCTCAGCAGCATTAACAGAACCCTAACAGGACTCGATCCAGCTCAAAAAGTCAAAATAGGATATGACCCAGCTCATGATGATCCTCGTCATCAGCATCAATATCCTCATCATCACCGCGATCACTCCCGTCATCGCCACATTCTTTATCATAAAAATCCTCGCCATCATCATCATCATCATCATCATCATCATCATCATCATCATCATCATCATCATCATCATCATCATCATCATCATCATCATCATCACATCAACCACCACCACCATCATCATCAGCAGCAGCAGCATTATCATCATCCTCACCATCATCATAATAATCAGAATCGCCATCATCAAAATCCGAATCAATATCATCATCCTCATCCTCAGCATCATCACCATCAGTATGATGGTCATGGTCACCCTCGAAATCACACCCAGAATCATCACCATCACCATCGTCATCGTCACCTGCGTCTTCTTCATCATCATCATCAATTGCAGCAGCAGCATCGCCATCATCATCGTCGTAATCAGAGTCCGAAACATCACCAGCATCAGCATGACCATCAGAATCAGCAATCTCATAATCACAAGCATCATAATCATAATCAGCAGCAGCATCCCCGTCGTCATCGTCATCATAATCCTCATCATCACCATCATCATCATCATCATCATCATCCAAAACTTCATAGTCACCACCATCATCAACAGCAGCAGCATCGTCATTATCATCATCATCAGCAGCATCATCATCAGAACCATCAGTCTCGTCGCCATCATCATTACGATCAGCATCATAATCAGCACTCAGTATCATCTCCAGCACCATGATCACCATCATCACCATCATCATCATCATCATCATCATCGTCATCGGAATCTGCATCATCAGCATCATCATCATCAACAGCATCATCAGCATCAGCATCGGTATCATCATCAGCAGCAGCATCAACAGTATCAGCATCATCATCAGCGTCATCATCTTCATCATCATCATCATCTCAGCATCATGACTACCCACTAGCGCCATCACCAGCAGCATCATCATCATGATCAGAACATTCATCCTCAACCTCATCCTCATCATACATCCCTTCATTCTTCTTGGACAATGCTTCTTACCGCAAGTGCTGCCTGGCTGTAGCACTGTCCCTCCTCAACATCATCCTCATCTTCATCACGGCTCCGCTTGTTCCTCCTCCTGCTCGCCCTCCTCTTCCTCATCATCATCATCCTCGTCATCATCGTCATCATCATCATCATAATCATCAGCAGCAGCATCAGCATCAGCATCAGCATCAGCGTCAGCATTCATCGTCATCATCATCATCATCATCATCATCATCATCATCATCATCATCATCATCATCATCATCATCCTCATCCTCATCCTCATCGTCATCCACTATCACCACCATCACCATCACCCACCATCATCATGAGAATCGTAATCCTCATGCTTAGGCTCGTCCTCATCATCCATCCACCCACCCTTGTTCCTCCCTCTGTCTTCATCGGCAACGCTTACCGCAAGTGCTACCCTGCTACACTCCTGCTCCTGCTCAACCTCAGCCTCATCTTCATCACTCCTTCTTCTTTCCCTCCTTTCCATCCTCACCCTCCTCCTCCTCCTCCTCCACCTTCTCCCCCTCATCACCATCCACCACCTCCTCCTCCTCCTCTTCACCGTCCTCCTCCTGAGCCTCCTTCCCCTCCTCCTCCTCCTCCTCCTCCTCCTCCTCCTCCTCCTCCTCCCCTTGGGGTTGATGGCCTTCCGCCTGGGTGCTGAGAAAAACCCTCCCCCGGAAGAGCGGGCCGCGGGCCGGAGCGAGCGGCCTCGCTGCAGCACGTGGCGACCGACGAGGCGCTCGCCCTCGCCGCCGGCTCCACGGGCGGGGCGGGCCGCCTCCAGCGGAGCTCCTCGACCTACCGCGGGGGACAAAAACCTCCTCCTCCTCCTCCTCCTCCTCCTCCTCCTCCTCCTCCTCCCTCCTCCTCCTCCTCCTCTCCTCCTCCTCCTCCTCCTCCCTCCTCCTTCTCTCTCCTCCTCTCCTCCTCGTCTCCTCCTCCTCCTCCTCCTCCTCCTCCTCCTCCTCCGCCTCCTCCTCCTCCTCCTTCACCTCCTCCTCCTCCCACTGATCCTCCTTCTGACGCTGACGCTGCTGCACTTGAATGCTGCCGTCGGGCTCCCCGGGGGCGGTCCCCCATGGGGGGAGGGGATGATCCAAGCTAGTGA